TTGGTCAATGTCAAACCTGCGATTTTGCCAGCCTTAAAGGGCCAGATCTGAATAGTACCTTCGGTTAAACCAGCACTAATTTCTGAAGGTTTGTTCATTTGTGTCATGTTATATTATCACTAAATGGTAACTCACTGAATGCCCTTTGATAGAATTTTATGACCCATGCACAGATTAAATCCAAATCTGATGTTACATTGTTATTCATCTTTTCAACTTTTTTGTTTTTTAAACTTAGTATTATTTGTTCTAAAAATCACTAATGATTATTCATTATTGCAGTATTTGTCAAAAAATAAACAATAACCCATCACTTAATATTTATATATAGTATGATTGAATAAAATAAAATCTTGCACAACATTAATGTTCAAGGATTTTAGCTTTTTTCTTGCCATTGAAAATATGGCAATATAAAATATGAAAGATATACTAGTTTGAAACTTGCAAAGTGAAAAATTAAATACATTTCTTTTAAATCATGAAAGAAATGTGTTTATATTTAGTTTATCTGCTAGATGATCATGCAAAATATTGAATAAAATATTAGGATTTAGGACAAGTGTATACTGAATTATTAAACTAATGTGAATAAGAAAATATAACAGGAAAAAAAGTAACAAGCCTGAAACTTGAAATAAATGTTTTAATGTTTTTTTTATAAATATAAAGTCAGCCTCTTACATCTGGAGAAATAACCCTTATACAATAAGTAGCTGCAGAGAGATATGCATTTCGGCCATTAGGTGTCAGTTGCAGGATCGGTATGTTATGGACTTGCTAAATTTTCTTGGTTTAGCTTCGAGTAAGCCCAGCAGAAAAGATACATATGGCAGTGAGCAGATATAAGTGCACAAGCAACATACATATTTTATGACATATTTTATCATATGAGGAGTCATGTTTTTATGATTAAAGCATAAAATTAAGATACTACTTGCAAATGCCCACCAGATGGTGCTATACTTATATATGCTGCTAATGTGTACAGTACTAGTACTACTAGTGGACATTTAGGCTCTTACTAGTAGCACTAGTAGCACTAGTGCGACTAGTGCGACTAGTGCGACTAGTGCGACTAGTGCTACTCGTGCGACTCGTGCGACTAGTGCTACTAGTGCGACTAGTGCGACTAGTGCTACTAGTGCTACTAGTGCGACTAGTCGCACTAGTAAAGGCCTAAATGTCAACTAGTAGTACTAGTACTGTAGACAGTATATGTACGTATAGCACCATCTGTGGGGCATTTGCAAATAGTACATTTTTTAACCTTTACTGTACATGATAAAATTAATTTTTTAGGGCTCATTTATACAATGGAGTAGAGCCATCTTAAAGAAAAAAAGAGAAAAATATTAATCTTGTATATGTACGAGAATAAACATGTAAATTTAGGAGAATAAAAAAATGATGAAAGGAGAACCCCTAAAGCATTTTCCTCTGCCACAAATGAGACAGTCTCATCCAAGTCAGTGTGGTTTTTTCTTTGGAAAATTACAGTTGCTTCCAGTATCTTTTCAGGGTCCTAATATTTTATGACAATGTGATGATGATGTGCTGATAAAACAACTTATCGGATATATTTGTCAAACTGTTTTTACAGACTACACAAGGAAGGAGCCTATTTCCTTATTTGTCAAACCTTTACTATAACAAGATGCTCCACCTTTATCAATTTCGAACAGGCGGCTCCTGCTCTTCTGATATACCAATATATTCTACTATTATATTATATAATATATTATATGTTCAAGTATTCAGCTGTTTTATGAAGGGAAATGTTTAAACTATTTAAGAAAATACTAAAGGGGACTTTGTCTCAATCATAAACAGTATAGAGTATTTTAGTGTTTTTAGTTTTTTTATTTTTAGTCTCAAATGCAGCCTCAAAGGCTGATGTAGCTGCAACTAAACCTGAGATGAAAGATAATCCATTTATTGTTTTGAAATGAACCTGTATGAGCTTAAATATTAGATGTGAACTGAATCTTCTTGGTTTTAAGTATTTATTTTCACACATCTGAGATATGTTAAGTTGCAGCTGCTTACAAGACCCAACTTCCTCATTCATCTGCTTCAAAATAAAAGCACATCACATAGATGGTAATAAGGGACTTTTATTGTGAAAGACTTTCCGGAACTAAATGCGTTTATCACTCGGAGCTGCAGCGGCGATTGTAGTTGCGAAGGCTGTAGTGAGAAAGAGTACTCAGCCACTTCCTTGCCCAAGAGTTAGAGCCACAGCCAACTTATTTGAATCATCTTGGACTTAAGACAATGAGACATCAGTTTATAAACACCTTCAGCAGGTAGACCCACAGTAGTGGAGGTGCTTATCCGTGCTAGCTGAAGTGGCACCGAGCCAAGAAAAGGGTCTCTGTCTGTCTCTCTCTCTCTCTCTCTCTCTCTCTCTTTCTCTCTGTCTCTGTCTACGACTAGTGCTACTAGTGCGACTAGTGCGACTAGTGCTACGAGTACGACTAGTGCGACTAGTGCTACTAGTGCGACTAGTGCGACTAGTGCTACTAGTGCAACTAGTGCGACTAGTACGACTGGTGCTACTAGTGCGACTAGTGCGACTAGTGCTGCTAGTGCAACTAGTACGACTAGTGCTACTAGTGCAACTAGTGCTACTAGTGCGACTAGTGCGACTAGTGCTACGAGTACGACTAGTGCGACTAGTGCTACTAGTGCAACTAGTACGACTAGTGCGACTAGTGCTACTAGTGCAACTAGTAGCACTAGTAAAGGCCTAAATGTCAACTAGTAGTACTAGTACTGTAGACATTAGCAGTATATATACGTATAGCCCCATCTGTGGGGCATTTGCAAGTAGTACAATTTTTAACCTTCATTTTACATAATAAAATTACATTTTTAGGGCTCATTTATACGATGGAGTAGAGCCATCTTAAAGAAAAAAAAAGAAAATATTTGAGATTAATCTTGTATATGTACGAGAATAAACATGTAAATTTAGGAGAATAAAGTCATAAATTTACGAAAATGTACATTTTTAGGTTGTAGCCTATCATAGAGAAGCCTTCCGCCTGCGCATAAATGATGAAAGGAGAACCCCTAAAGCATTTTCCTCTGCCACAAAAGTTACAGTTGCTTCCAGTATCTTTTCAGGGTCCTGATATTTTATTTGTGATGATGATGTGCCGATAAAACAACTTATCGGATATATTTGTCCAACTGTTTTTACAGACTACACAAGGAAGGAGCCTATTTCCTTATTTGTTAAACCTTTACTATAACAAGATGCATCCACGTTTATCATTTTCGAACAGGCGGCTGCTGCTCTTCTGATATAGACTTAAACAAGAAATTAATCTCGTACATTTTACTTTATTGTCATAAATTAACTATTTGAATCTCTAAATTGTAGGTTTTTTTCCTTTTACGTGGCCCTAATCTTGAATCCCTTTATTTTTCTTAGTTTACCGACTTTAGGCCAAATTAAAACGTATTAAGTACAAGAACATAAATTCTGTATCAAGTTCCAGTTGTTTTAAAGTCCATAATTTTATCTGATTAACTTTTTTCCTTTTTAAAAACAGCATGAATTTATATGAAATATTTACACATTCATTTTTAACTTACAATTGCACCTTGGGCAGTTTTTTATCACTCTACTGACCTCAAGATGTACTCTTTCTTATGTTTTCTGTAAATACTGTCTTGATGGGATAAAAAAGGAAAAGAAAATCATGAGAACAGTTCTAAAATGATCTTCTATCTTATTTTAAGTTTATAAAACAATTCTAACATTTAATATATATATAATTTTCATGTTTTACTCTCCATGGAAAGTAGGGAAGAAGCCGTTGCTTCACAGCACTTGCTCCTTCTTACAAAGGGTTAAATTTGTGGAAGGTGGAGGTCTATATGGAGAACCAATGATAAGGTTCAGAGAGTGCCCTGATCCCACCCACTCATTAGCATGTACTTCAACCAGTGTTTCTAGTACGCATTTTGGCTTTCACTAGTAGTACTAGTTAACATTTAAAACCGTAGTAGTTAACTAGTTATGCCAAAAAGAGTACTACTAGTGTAACTAGTGACATTTTGGCTCTTACTAGATAACTAGTTAACCATTTTGAGCCTCACTAGTTCACTAGTAGCACTAAAATGTCCTGAACTAGTGTTACTAGTTGGCTTTTTGCACTAACTAGTTAACTAGTGGACTTTAAGAGCCTCACTAGTAAACTAGTAAAATTTGTAACTGCATCACTAGTGATACTAGTGGACATTTGGGTCTTACTAGTTAACTAGTAAACATTTTGAACCTCACTAGTTTACAAGTAAGGTTAAAAAGAGTCAAACTAGCTTACTAGTGGACATTGTTGCTCTTACTAGTTAACTAGTAAACATTTTTAGGCTCACTAGTTAACTAGTAGACACAAAATATATCTTACTAGTTAACTAGTAGATATTTTGCACCTTACTAGTTAACATGTAGGACTTTTTGCCTTCTACTAGTTTACTAGTAAGTCTTTCAACGTTCTACTAGTAAACTAGTGCGGCCAAAGACTTGACTAGTACAGGAAACTGAGCTTTGATATCAAGGATATCTATTAAATCTTCAATCGGCTTTCCATATTACCTGACTGACAGACCACAGTTTGTGAGGCTGGGGAGGTCTGTGTCTGAGCGGGCGGTCAGTGGCATAGGAACGTCGCAGGGGACTGTGCTGTCCCCTTTCCTCTTCACACTATACACCTCAGACTTCCAGTATAACTCTGAGGCTTGTCACTTACAGAAGTTCTCAGACGATACTGCGGTAGTAGGATGTATCAGTGGTGGAGAGGAGACAGAATACAGGATGCTGGTGGATAACTTTGTTGCATGGAGTGGAAGAACCACCTGGTGTTGAATGTAACAAAGACCAAGGAAATGGTGGTGGACTTTAGGAGGGACAGGCCTGAGCTTAGCACCATCTCTATCCTTGGGGATGAGGTGCAGGTGGTGGAGTGCTATAAATACTTGGGGTGCACATGAACAATAAACTGGACTGGAAGCACCACACAGTGGCTGTCTACAAGAAGGGTCAGAGCAGACTCTACTTCTTGAGGAAGCTTAGGTCTTTTAATGTGTGTCGCAAAATGTTATCCATGTTTTATCAGACTGTTGTGGCAAGTGCCATTTTCTTTGCAGCCGTCTGTTGGGGCAGCAGCATCAGGGCTTGTGACTTTAAAAAGCTTAACAAGCTGATTAGGAGGGCTGGCTCTGTGCTGGGGACTGCTGTGGAGCCCCTGGAGGTGGTGATGGGGAGAAGGATGATACAGAAACTGTTGAACATTATGGACAATAACATGCATCCCTTACACAATCTGGTGTGTGAACAAAAGAGTGTTTTTAGTGGGAGGCTGCAAAAAGGACAGATTTAAAAATACTTTTTTACCTACTGCAATTGCACTTTATAACGACTCCCCTTTAAGTAAGGACAGAAGACATTTAAACTTTTAAACTTTAGCCTGAGTTGCATATATCAAACTGTATTGTGTTTTTTTTTGTATGGGTGGGATATGTATGTATATATGTGTTGTGTTGTGTGTTTGTATGTATGCTGGCTGCTGGAACACCTACATTTCCCTGCTGGGATGAATAAAGTATATCTTATCTTATCTTATCTTATCTTATAATAAATTGGCCCTGAAAAACAATTTCAATGAACAACAATATTCTTTAATCATTTGACAAAAAATCCAACTTAATATATCAATCAATTCCTCAGATATCAGCAAGAGTGAGCAAAACCATTTTAAGTCATTGCCCTGACATGAATTAAATAAACACTACATGTAAAGACTTTAACATTCATTTGTATATTATTTTTGATCAAAAATAAGTCACTTTATGGGAGAAAGAACTTGCACATTTTTACTGCAACTTGTTCTACTACCACTAGGTGGCAGTCAGCGTCAAGATATTCTGTTCCTAAAGGACACAAAGATTCACTTGTTGAGTTGATCTTAACTGAAAGAAACCCAGGACAGACAAGCTCTTCCTTTTACTGACTCTATTATAAGTTAATAAATACAGCTTTATGTATTCATTTAGTTGTAGTACACCATCTCACCTTTTCTTACCCTTCTCACCCTTTCTTTTCCTGTCATCTAAATCTCTGCGGCTCTTTCAGCTGCTCAAGGCCAGTCCCTCACCTCCTCAGAGCCAGTGGTCAGCAGGGCAGGAGAACCAGCCACTCTGTACTGTAATGTCAATGGACTTGCTCTTTCTTGGCTGCACTGGATTCGTCAGAAAACGGGGAAAGGACTGGAATGGATCGGACGCATTGATAGCGGAACTGGCACAATATTTGCCCAAAATCTCCAAGGCCAGTTTTCCATCACAAAGGACACATCGAACAATGTTGTGTACTTAGAGGTGAAGAGTCTTAAACAAGAAGACTCTGCTGTTTATTTCTGTGCACGAGAGCCACAGTTACACAGCTGACGACAGAGCTGTACAAAAACTGAAAAACACTGATCGTTGACCTGGAAGAACTGAAGCATGTCAGAGTTTTGAAAACACATTTTCTTCTGAATAATGTTACGACCGTGGTCATACTGGGTGTATTTTTTACGGGTTTCTTTTGTCTTAGGTTGGTTATGTTATTGTCTGCATGCTGTTGTTCTGTGTAAATAGGTGTGCCTCCAAGCAGAAGGCCTGAGTTCGACTCCGGCCTTTGGCCCCTTTCCCACTTGTCATTGCCCTCTCTCTCTCTCTCCCCCCTCAATTTGTGGCTCTATCCACTGACCTGTATCTTAAATGAAGGTGAAAAATAAACCTAAAAAAAAAGAGGTGAAATAAGTTGAAGTAAAAAAAACATCATGTCAACATTTTGTGTCAAAATGATTTGGATGCAAATACTGGTATGTTTTAAATTTGGTATATTAAAGGTCACTTTGATTATCTGATTTAATAAACAGAAAAATATGGACCAAAATGTCCTGTGGGAAGGAGTAAAGACAAACCTTTGTCTGTGCTGTTATGTACACATTTTGCAATGACTGTAGGGGTGACCAATCTGAAGGCACTCACTCTTGTTGCCCTGCTAAACATTGCATGTATTATTGATGTGAAAACCAGAGTTTGTCAGTGAAAGAAATATCTTTATATACGAGAGAAAAAGAAAAACAGGAAAAAGGAAGAGGAGTAAGCGTCGGACACTGGCAGACATGATGGTGATGAACGCTGGTTGGAGGGCCCAACAATACTTTTTACAACGGGCCCCAACAGACTCTTGAATCACCACTGAATATAGATCATCTTTCCTGTTAGAACAATAATACTGACTTTTTCAACCTCATGCACACTTTAATTCAGATCATGCAAATCAGACTCAAAGGGGAAAAGCCATCTAACATTTAATTTCCAGTTCAAACAGACAAAAACTGAGACCCAAGTTAATTCAGTCCATGTGAGGAGGAGTCAATGCAAAACTCTGATGTGTTCCTCCTCTACTTATGTGAGAGCAGAGAGGACGACAGAGAACAGTGGACACACAGTTGAACATGATGGACTATAGGACAGGACTGCTGCTTTTTACTGTCTGCTGGCAGGTGATGATCATCAAAGTCTTATTTTCTCTTGATGTGTGCCAAATATGTTCAATTGACTTTTTAAATGTCTTTACAGGTGTTAAAGCTCAGACTCTGACAGAATCTGAAGCAGTGCTTAAAAGGCCTGGAGAATCCCACAGACTGACCTGTTCAGCCTCTGGATTCACATTCAGCAACTACCATATGAACTGGGTCAGACAGGCTGCAGGAAAAGGACTGGAGTGGATCGCCTGGGTTGAGCGTGATAATGACAGAAAATTCTACTCTCAGTCAGTTAAAGGCCGGTTCACCATCTCCAGAGACAACAGCAGACAGCAGGTGTATCTGCAGATGAACAGTCTGAAGACTGAAGATTCTGCTGTTTATTATTGTGCCAGAGACCCACAGTGACACAGGAGGAAGTAACGCTGTACAAAAACAGTCAAAGTAGCATTTCACATTACATCAGTAACCTCACTGACTGGGATGTGTTAAGTAGCTGTACAGAATCCTTTGCTATTTATGTCTAGTGGACCTATGGAGCTTGTTCAATTCAGAATCAGGGATATAGTCCTTAACATACAGACTCAGAACAAGATGGAGTGACTGATTCCAAAACCAAAAACTGATTCGGCTACAAAGTAATGAGAAAATGATAAACCTGATGTAGGAGTTATTACTCTCTCTACAATAAATGGAGTGGTTTACTGCTCCTCTCTCTTACACTGCTAATGTCAACCAGAAGTATATCAGCAGTTCTTCATTTTATTGAATTACATTTTAAAAGGATACTCAACAGGAATAAAGCACAGACATACTTTCCCTGTCAGAATAATTTTTAGGTTTGTAATTACCGTAGGCTTCACCACTTGAACGAAAAATCAATACCCACAAACATCCAGACCTCTTAAATCTTCACCAAGGATCCTGGAAAGGACTTTTAAACTAAACGTTAAACAACAACAAATGATTAAATAGACTAATAAAACAATAGTCTTTTCTTTCTCAATGCTGGGTCCTTAAAGCTTGAGAGGGCAGATATAGGTTTGTGTGTGAAGACATGTGCTCCCCTCTTATTGTTGTATGAACTGACAAAACTGCGTCCTGCCGACTCACTCAGCTGTGTATTACTGAGTCTGTGTACGCTCCACTGACACAAATCACCAAAAGACCAGCACAACTAATCCAGAGCAATGCAGTTCAATCACACATAATGTTGACTTTATAAAGACAACACACTCTGATAAGTATGATGTGAGGAATCTTTATGTATTCACAGAACAATAGAGGATTTTTGTTTTACCTGTACATGAGGAAGAATAGCGTGCTATAAACCCAATCAGACTTCCACTGCAGCCGACATCAGTGCAGAAAAAAACGTAGAGAAGCTTGATTGTTCCTGAATATTTATAGATTAATGTTGTGTATCGTGATCCCAAGAAATGCTTGGGGAAACATTTAATTCAGTGCTCATGGAATCGGGTAGAAAATATCATCTGATAACATATCTACATTAACAATATAGCTTCATCTCAAACACACAAGCTACAATATTCCCTTTTGCATATCAAGATGAAAAGTAAGAGATTATCATTTCAAGAAAAAAACATGCTTTGGCAATCTGCCATGACTGTGATATTTTAGAGTTTGCTCTGTTGCTGAAGATATTCTCTTCTTATGGAAATGTATCAGTCACAGTTTCTCTTTTGAACCTGTAGAGGGAGGTCTATGCAAACTCGTCCTCTCTTATAAACACACCGTCAGTAACTTGGGCAGATCAATCGGACAGTTCTGAACACTTTTGAAAATCTGAGATCAGACAGCACTGACCAGAGGAATGGGTAAAAGTAGTATCTGGAGTTTATTACTTGTAGTTACTATTCATGGTGAGACAATCCATCCTGCTTTAATACTTTGTGTAAATGTCAAACCTTTTTTTCAAGTTTTGTTGATAATGATCAATATTTCTATGACAACAGGAGTTTGGAGTGAGATCAGACTGGAGCAGTCTCCCTCTGAGGTGAAAAGACCTGGAGAGACAGTGAAGATGTCATGTATCATATCTGGGTTTGACATGACGAGCGACTATATCCACTGGATCAGACAGAAACCAGGGAGAGCTCTGGAGTGGATTGGGTGGATGGATGCTGGCAGAAATTCTGCTAGCTATGCAAGCTCCTTTCAAAGTCGCTTCAGTATGACAGAAGATGTGCCCAGCAGCACTCAGTTCCTCCAGATCCAGACACTGACAGCAGCAGATTCTGCTGTTTACTTCTGTGCTCGTGAAGACACAGCTGCACAAAAACCTCCAGAGAGAATCAGCAGTGTGATCTCAATCATATCTGTTTTTTCATACCATCATACTAAGAGTTATTGATTTGATTTACCAAGAAAAAGAAGACATGAGACAAGTCTACAGTGTTCACTGAATTACGTTATTTAAACAGACCCAACATAAATCATAGTGCAAGTGTGAAATCCAGTGCAAGCAAGCAGTTGGCAACATTTGGCAATAGTGGCAAGATCGGAAGAATCCTGGCTGGGCAGAGAAAGTAGAATAAATAATTAGAGCCCGACAGATTAATCAGCCAGCTAATAATGTCCGCCAATGTTTCGTTTACTATTAAATATAGATATATAGATATTTACTATTGGTATTGGCTAATGTTATTGCAGATATGTGTCGATATCACTACAGTTATTCACCAGTCAAATCGCCTTTTAGTTGAGTGTCATTGTATTACACTATCAGTTCTCTTTCACCAGCAGAGGGCGCTCTTTGGATTACAACAAGCATTATTACTCCAAAGAGTCAAGTGAAGCACGTCCAATGCGCAGTTACTTTTCAGTTCAGTGAGCATCTTGTCTTCATGAAATATCTTTTCCACAAGTGGTATCACTGCATTTGAGGTATAAACAAAATACATTCGTATATATCTATATTATCTATCCAGCTCTACAAACAGAAAATACATTTAAGAAAGATATCGGCCAATATATCAGTACCAGTTTTTTTTCTCTTCCTAATTTTGATATCTGTATCAGCCCTGAAAATCACTTATTGCTCAGGTCCTACGAACAATCACAACAACCACAACAGATAATACAGACTTATGGCTACAATGCCAATTATGTGTAATATAAGTGAATATATGATTAAACTTTTATGAATAATTGCAGTCAATCAGGTCTCATATTCTTCTTTTCTCTGTTTACTGTCTGGTCACTGATGGAATTTATTTCCAGTTCCTGTGAGCAGTTTTTTTTAGCTTATATTGAACGGACTAAAGTAAATTCCTATGAACGTCCTACAAAAGCAAATGAGATGATCTGGAAGAAGATTGTTCTTTTTTTATTCTTTTTAATCTCTTTCACCGCAGGGTGTTTGTCGGGAAAGACGATACACAGCACTCTGCCAAACTCCACACAAATGATTCATAAGTGATGTTTTGATGGTTAAAAGATGCAAGATGATTTATTTTATCAGAAAATACAACTTTTCTCCAGCACAGGACAAGATCAGCATAAAGAGAAGATATGCTGCGTTGACAAATATCAAACACAAATGATAAGTTCTTCACTGTCAATTTAAGCTAGCAGAGACGAAGGAAAATCTCCTAAAATGAGGTCAACAGTGAAAGTTTCAGAGTCAACACCCTCAAGTAATTCTTTAAATATCATTAATGCTTTCCCAATCCACTCAACACATATTCATTGCGGTAAAAAGACTTTCACAATCCTTTCAGATGAAAATATGTTTGCATGTTTTCCCAAACTGATTGTTACAAATCTGACACAGAGTACAGGATCAACTCATTTTATGTTCTTCGTGTCTAACCAGCCTTGAAAACTCCATTCATTTAAAAACACATCTAGTGTAGAGAGATGAAGCAGAATCTACTTTTCATATAT